TCTTTCTCTCTCTCTCTCTCTCTCTCTCTCTCTCTCTCTCTCTCTCTCTCTCTCTCTCTCTCTCTCTCTCTCTCTCTCTTTCTCCTCTGCCTCCTCTTTTAGAAGTGTCCGATTCCATCACTCTGGGCTTAATCTCTTCACTTCAGAGTGGATCGCCTGAAGTGCACACTTTCTCAGATCTTTCGAACACGTAGTCTCCAAACATTCAGGACCGAATTATGAATAGAATTAGTAAATATTATGTAAGTATTCGTTGCGTGAGATCCGAGAGGAATGTGTTCTTTCACGTGAACTTAATTTTTATTTTCTTTTTCTTTTTTTTCATTTTTATAAATTTCTTAAGTGGACTCTCGATCAGCTTTCGTGACGAAACTCCTTGTGTAATTCATGGAGATTTTCTCTTCGTGTGTGTGTGTGTTCAGTCGTTATCCTCATCCACGCAACCACGCCGAGAGGAGAGACGCAGTGACCTCCAGAATGCAGTTTTGTGGACTTTCTCCCGATATCGTTGCTGCAATTCAGGTGGATGGAGTTCTCCCTCCCCCCCTCCCTCCTCCCACCCTCTCTTGTTCATTTCACGACTTTTCAATCTCGATATTACAAGAACACAACTGGACGGATACATGCATGCGAACTCAGGCATGCACACGAGCGCTCATGTACACACACACACACACACACACACTCACACTCACACTCTCTCTCCTTCCCTCCCCTCCTTCTCCCTCCCTACCTCGTCCTCTCTCCTCTCCTCCTCCTCCTCCTCCTCCTCCTCCTCCTCCTCTCCCTCTTGAGCAGACACTTTATTCACTTGGCACTTTTGAGTGTCCCACGGAGAGTGGGTAATGGCGTGGTTTCCTACAGTCTTTTACTTGGATGAGGCAAAAAAAAAGAAAAGAAAAAAAAAAGTGTTGCTTCACTCACTCTCAAGGATAGCCGTTGTATCTAGGATTTAGGTTTAGATATATTTTCGGGAAGTGATAACTTGTTAAATTCCAGGGACTTTGGCCGATAGATTAACCCCATCGATTAGGGCGTCCCGAGGATGGAGGCTTCTACTAAGCAGCGTGAGCATTGGATATCAATACAGGATGCAGCTTGCAGGGTATCTGATAATAGCCAAAAAGTCCCAGATCCTGCGTGAGGTATCCCTGAGTGTGTGTGTGTGTGTGTAAGTGTGTGTGTGTGTGTGTGTGTGTGTGCGTGCGGGTGTGTGTAAGTGGGTGTGCGTGTGCGCTTGTACGTGCGCGCGTCAGAAACAACTACTTGGCTAATCAGTCAGTTGCTGCTCAAAAAAAGCACAACACGTTTTGAACTTGTCGGCTTCATTAGCGGTCGGAATTGGCCCTTGAGGATGTTAATTGTGGTAAGGGATTGTCGTTCAGCTTATTCGGTCTTGTGAGATTAGGAAGCCTTTGGGGTTGTGGAAAAGTTGCGTTTGAGTGACGGTCTTTCAAGCTCACTGAGGCTCTGCCACTCTCAGCTGATGATTTTCTGTCTGTCGAATATATATATATATATATATATATATATATATATATATATATATATATATATATATATATATATATATATATATGTACATATATAGAGAGATAGATAGATAGATAGATATATAAATACAGATATATGATATATATATATATATATATATATATATATATATATATATATATATATATATATATATATATATATATATATATATATATGTACATATATAGAGAGGTAGATAGATAGATAGATATATAAATACAGATATATGATATATATATATATATATATATATATATATATATATATATATATATATATATGTATATGTATATGTATATATATATATAATATAATATATAGATAATATAATATAATATGTATACTATAATATAATATATATATATATAATATAATATATATATATATATATATATAATATAATATATATGTATAATACAATATAATATATATATATACATATACATATATACATATATACATATCTTTGCCTCTCCTCTTTCTCCTGGTCATCCTCCACTCCCCGTTTCCTCCTCCCACCGCCTTCCCTGTTACCTTTTTCTTCCCCGAGTCACCCCTTCCTCCCTGCCTCTTCCCCTCCTCCTCCTTCCTCCTCCTTTTCCCCCTCCTTCTCTTCCTCCCTCCCTCCACCACGTCCCTTCCCCCTTCTCCTTCTTCCACCGTTTTCCGTGCCTCCCCCCCTCCAGTATCATCCCTCCCTCCCTCCCTAGACCTCCTGCTCCTCCTCCTCCTCCTCCTCTTCCTCCTCCCACCCTCTCTAACCCCCTCCACCCCCTACCTTCCTGCCGTCCCTCCCTCCCCACTTCATTCTCCTGCTCCTCCTCCTCCTCCTCCTCCTCCTCCTCCTCCTCCTCCTCCTTCCCACGAGATATCTCCATCAATTTAATTAACTCTTGAGGAATCCACCTGCAAGTCTGCTACAGGTGTTTTTGTTTTTTGTTTTTTCTTTATTTTTCTTTTGCTTTGTCATTTATTTTATTTTTATTTCATTTTTTTTTTCGTTTTGGTCATTCCGTTGCTTCTTTAATGTTTTAAGGCGGAATGTTTTTTTTTTTCCTTTTAGGTTGTTATCATTATTCTCGGGCTTTTATTGACCTTATTTTTTTCTCTCTCTTTTCTCTTTTTCTTCTCTTTATTTCTTTCTTGTTCGGTTCGTCTTGCTTGGGCGTCTTGATTTGATTATATATTTTTTTCTAATTCTTTTTTTGTTATTATTGTCTTTGTATGTGAGTTGTGTGTTTTGGTGAGTTGAGAGAGAGAGAGAGAGAGAGAGAGAGAGAGAGAGAGAGAGAGAGAGAGAGAGAGAGACAGAGAGACAGAGAGACAGACAGACAACCGAGAGAGAAGGACAAACGGAGAGAGAGAAAGAGAGGGAGAGGGAGAGAAAGAGAGAGAGAGGGAGAGAAAGAGGAAGAGAGAGAGAGGGGGAGGGAGGGAGAGAGACAGACAGACAGACAGGCAGACAGAACGAGAGAGAAAGACAAACGGAGAGAGAGCGGGAGAGAGAGAGAGAGAGAGAGAGAGAGAGAGAGAGAGAGAGAGAGAGAGAGAGAGCGAGCGGGAGAGAGAGAGAGAGTGGGATTGAAAGAGAGAGAGCGGGAGAGAGATAGAGAGAGGGAGAGAGAGAGAGAGAGAGAGAGAGAGCGTGAGTGTGTGTGTGCCGGTATTGGAAGTGGTCTTGGAGTCTCGGATGCTGGAAGTGGAGCGTGATCTGAGCCGGGATCAAAGGGACACTTTTCATCCCACGTGAGTTGAGAGCCTCGTTAGTTCCATGAGGGATGGAGGGGGGAGGGGGGAGAGGGTTGAGGGGTTGGTTGGGATGGAGGGGGGGGAGGGTTAAGGGGTTGGTTGGGATGGAGGGGGGGGAGGGGAAAAGGTTGAGGGGTTGGTTTGTGGGATGAGGGGGGGGGAGGGGATCGGAGGTAAGGGAGGTAGGGGGGGGGCGTCTTTGGTGACTTCTGCAGGGATTTGTTCTCGATTTTTTTTTTTTTTTTTTTTTTTTTTCGTGTTTCTTCTCTGTCTGGTTGTTTGTCTCTCTCTCTGCTTCTTTCTCCCCCCATTTCTCTCTCTCTCTCTCCTCTCTCTCTCTCTCTCTTTCTTTCTCTCTCTCTCTTTTCCTCCCTTCCTGTCTCTCCTCTCTTCCCTTCCTCTCCCAATTTCCCCCTCCTGCATTCTCTCTACCTCTCCCACTTCCACCCTCCTCACAGTCTCTTCCTTTCCCCAACCTCCTCCTCCTTTTTCCCTTAGTCTTTTCTCCCCGTCCTTTGCCCATCTTTCTCCCTTGCTCTCTCTCTCTCTCTCTCTCTCTCCTCTCTCTCTCTCTCTCTCTCTCTCTCGTCTCCTCTCTCTCTCTCTCTCTCTCTCTCCCTCTCCCCCCCCTCTCTCTCTCTCTCTCTCTCTCTCCCTCCTCTCTCCCCCCTCTCTCCCCACTCTCTCTCTCCTCTCCTCTCTCTCTCTCTCTCTCTCTCTCTCTCTCTCTCTCTCTCTCTCTCTCTCTCTCTCTCTCTCTCTCTCTCTCCCCCCCCCCCGCATCTCCAGCGCACTCGCCCCTCCGCCCCTGAAAATATAATCTCACGGCAATCTATACATAGCATCATTAATTAAGCAGTGCACGAGGGTCTGAAATGCAGCGCTTTGAAGTAGTGCAGCGCCGTCGTTGATTCAAAATGATGTCCACTGGGGGCTGATCCCTTGCATATTGTTTTTTTGTTTTGTGTTTGTTTTTGTTTTTTTTTGTTTTGTTTTTTGGTATGTCTTATTTTGTTTTGGGTTTGTTTGTTTGTTTGTGTGAGGAAGGGAGGTAGGGAGGTAAGGAGGGAGGGAGGGACGGACGGACGGAGGAGGGAGGAAGGAAGAGGAAGGGAGGGAGGGAGGGAGGAAGAGAGAGAGAGAGAGAGAACGAGACTGAGAATGTCTGCGTGTATATTTGTTTTTATTTTTCCCCCTTTGTTGAAGAAACTTTATCGAGTTCATAAAGACATCACGTAGGAACATGCCAGCGTATGACAAGCCTATACATATTTTTCCCCGTTTTTATCATCATTCTGCTTATTATAGCCATGCGATCATTAAGATAATTGGTCGCTCGTGGCTGATATCGTGTCAGTCCATCGAGTTTCATATTTATTATTGACCGTCATCATAATCATGTCGATTATATGCAGATATTGAACCCGATGTCATTCTCCCATTTGACAAGTAAAACGTTCATGTTTATTATTGTTATCAGGAGTAGTAGCAGTGATAGGATGAGCATCATTATTGTTATTTATACCATTACCATTCTTATCGTTGTTTTATTATTATTAATGCAACCTCCACTATAATCGAAAGTTTATCATAGTTTTATTTATTTATCATTACCATCATTGTTATTATTATTATTATTATTATTATTTATTTTTTTTTTTTATCATCATCATCATCATCATCTAAGCTGACCTTTGACCTTGTCCATTCCCCAG